TTAGAGAAAGCGGTCTTCTCCGCTCGTTTCTTGGAACACGTTTTGTTAAGAAGATTTATGCAGAACTTTAGCGCACAGAATTGCTTTTTTTGGTGTTTGACATTTTGTCGAGTCAAATTGAAGAGTAAGCGATCGGAACGCAATCGCATGCGATTAAGTCGATCCATTATTATACTACCGAAGAGAACATTGGAGAGCTCAGCAATGATTTCCTTGAGAAACACCCGCGTTATAACTATTAGCCACCGGAACACTTTCTTACGATGTATGGTGTCGTTCTTTGATCTTAGAAACAAAGGTGAGTTAGATAATAACCGTGCAAAATCAATAGCTCAGACAGGTTTTTGTGTGTGATTGCGATTGCATAACATATAGCTTTTTGTAAGATTTTCAACGATTGAATTTACAATTTCATTTCCGCCTCAATTTTACACTTGTTAAGGGGATGTCAGGGTCCACGGCATGGTTCACATGTGGCCTTCATGAATGATTTCAAGGAATGGCCAAAACTCAAGAATGCAGACCCACCATACATGCCGTTTTCTGCCAAAGGGAATCTAGCCAATTCGTACGCTCAGCAATCTTCTAAGAAGTTTTGAGAAAGAAAACCTTGAAAGATTAGCCCACGCCTGTGTCGAAAACAAAAGTATGTGCCGATTGTGGGCCCTCTCCAGACCTTGTGATACCGCGGAGTTATACACCATCGACAAGTGAACTCATTGAACACGCGCGCAGTCATGCTTTACCCTAGTTATACGAGAATTTTCCCCGCCAAAAAATTCAACTTTTTGTTTTGTTTCAATATCTCACCTACTACATAGGAGACGAATTTTTGGGACACACACGCGTCTAAAACGCCTTGGGAAAAATTGCCTAATCAAACCGCTAAGTTTCACTTCACCAAAAAAACAAGATAAAAAATTAATAAAGAATCGTAGTCTTGAGGGCTGTATGCTAACTATGGGTTGGAGCATAATATCGTAGCGTTTTTCTTTTCGAGCTACGAATTCAGTGAATACAAGTGTTACCCAGGAGATCACATATACCATTTAAAAGTACTTCTTCTGCTCTAGCATGCATCCCGTATTGTTTGGCATTTCTTTCTATATTACACAAAGTTATCTGCCGATTTACGGCTATTAGAAGTGTAGAAATTCAAATGCCGGGGAAAATCTCTGGCGAATCCATGCGGCGGGCAAAATCTATGTTAGTACAGAAAAAAACCTAGCCGAACTAACGGATTTTTCCAGCCCGATCCTGTCGTCATTTCGAATCTTACTCCCTGCGGCGTCCCATAGTTCAAATCATATATCAACGTTATGTCGTACAAATTGCAAGATAAATGAGGATAACTCAGTACCTTTGTGAATATTCTAGACTCTAGCAATTTCTTTGCGAATGAGAACCAAAGTTTTAAGTAAGTGGGCTGCCAAGAACCATCATAACTCAGTATTTGCATTGCTCTTTTGGGATTTTCGCTGAACGTTTCTAGCCGAACAATGCGAGCGGCTACGCTATTATATCGCCCGACCGATATCTTCATGGAGTGAACCCTTTCTAGGAGGTACTGTGAAGGTAGATAAGGAGAATTGTCTACTTCTATATGAGTTATGGGAACCGACCTCTCTCTTCGTGCTCAAAAAAACGCTACGCCTTCAAGGAACATTCGGATTTTTCTCCGTCGAGTGATGAAATGTTTGAGTCATTTGGTCAAAATTCCTTTTTGACTTTTTGGTTGATTAAAGAAAGAAGCAATTGCCGATGATCGATACCTTTATAGAATGTGGTACGCGTTCTCCTCTCCACTTAAGGAATCTTCCGCGGAAAAAGCTCCGCCTCCATTACCACAGAAAAAAACGATACCCCTTAGGCCCCTAGCCTCATGAGCATAGCAAAAAGAACGGAACATAAGCGTTAGTTTCGATAATACTAATCCTACACACAAGACAAAATGATCACTCTTTCCGTGGAAGATTCCTTTAAGGTATCGTTTTCTGTGGTAATGAGGGCGGAGCTTTTTCCGTGGAAGATTCCTTTAACATTCGTAGTGGTTTCCTGAATATGATTTTGCCTATGCACTGAAGGCCAGCTGATGTGCAAGCCAGGGTTCTAATCCTCCCACACAGTTCTGATACCAATCAAACTCGGAGGGATCAAAGGCTTTGTTGCTTCGGAACGACGACAGGATTTCGATCCCAGACGCACGGGTCGCGTAAGCATCGGCCAACCACTTAAACCACTTTCACCCCCGCCCTTTGCTACTCGAAAATATTCGCTGCTTGTACTGCATATTGAAAGAAACGACACCAAGTATTCCGGTTCAATGAATACATACTTGACTATTGAAATGACCCTACACCGGACAATGTCTTCACGTATTGCTGCCATTTTCTCAGTCCATGCTCCTAGTAATCCTCAAAGGATGAATTGGATTGCACGAAATCTGACCGAAGAAATCTCCTATCACAATGCAGTGCACCTCTACCTACCGCGTTACCTCCATCATTGACGTTTTGAAGATTCAAGAATTTTTTGCTCCTAATAATCGCCGTTCTCGCGTGCTGACACGCCCCTTAAATTCTTTTTCCCTCTCACTGAGCTCTTGCGATGAATTGCCTCACTTTACCGAACATATTCTGAATTACCCAATCATGGTACCCATAATCATTTTATGGCAGTGCAATCGTGCCATTGCATGTTACCGGGCTAGAACCTCTGACTAGTTTGGTTCACAATACAATATGGTAAGCTGAAAGAAGCAAAATTTCGGTTTGAAGGGGGTCGAGAGGTTGGCGGCACTTCCAATTGTGCTCGTTGCAAAAACTAACTGGATAAGATAAAACGGAACGCATATCGATCATACATTCGACTCTTAACACTTTGGAGACCGCGCGTGTTTTACGTTCCGCGGCCGCGCGGGACTTCGGTGAAATTTTTAGGGATCTTATCTAGCAAATTCAAGAAGAACCCACTGTATAATGCAGAAGAAATCTTATCGGATAAAATGGAAAAGAAAATGAATGAAAAACCTAATAATTGTTTACGAAATGCGAGCTGAAAGGTCCTATGCGGTCGGAGGACTGCAGCCCACATATGGGCTGCGTGGGCTCCAAGGTGTTAAGTTAAATAGGCTCGTTTTGATAATTTTTGTTGAGTTAGCGTGAAGTTGCTCCTTCAAGTCGTCTTCACATCTTGGCCCGTCAAATAACATCATGAGAATGTGTCTTTTCAGTTTCTTTGACCCAATCAAACACTCACTGCTCAAGGCGTTAAGAACCCCAGGGCGATGACGCCTCAGTCACAAAAATGCCAAGTGAAACATTATGTAAGGATTACGCTCACCATCGAACTTTGTCGGAAGTTATTACGAGTCGTTCGCCTATTAATTTAATTGTTACTAATTTAAATGTTATTAATTTAAATGTTAGTGGACCCGAAGGAGTGCCAGTACTGTGGATAAGATAACAAGGAGTGCCTTTTTCAAACTTCATTCTTCATTCATTCTTTCTTCTTTTCATTCATTTTTTTTTTCATTCCGCTGAAGGATATTAAGGTTGGACTCAATTGAAGTGATGTCCATGTAGTTTCTCCAACTTTGGCTGTTGCTCAGTTGTTAACCCTTTAGTGTTATTTGAGTGGTTTTCTCAAGTTGTACAGTTGTTTAATGTTCTGGGAGCCTCCTCTTATGACGAAGCGCCCTCAGTGCGGGAAAGAGCGACAACCTCGTTGACCCTTATAGAAGCGGTTCTGCCCGAAGTTTGACGGGCATTTCTTCAATGAGCGTTCATGAAAAGAGATGAGCACGTCTGTATGATGTCTGCTGCGTAGGGAGGGGTGGGGAGGGTTTGTTGGCTGGGAGTGCGTTCCACTTTCTCGTCCTCAGGTCAGGTCACCTGAAAGTTGAGACACCATTCATTTGCTCGAAGCAAGCTTAGGACTAAGCCTAGGCCCAATCATAGGCTTAAGCATAAGCCAATGTGTAAGCATAAGCCTAAGCCTAAGCCTAACCCAAGCTTAACCTTAGTCTTAATGATCGCGCAAGTATGGTGATCTAACCTAGGAGGAGAACCGATCGTCTCCGGTTGGCTAACCGCTGTGCAAGCTTAAAAGTCAAGTTGTTCCTGTGATAACCAAAGATTCCTACGTCTTCTTAACGCACTTGCGAATGATTCTTTCACCGAACTATTAGAAGAAGCGTTCCAGGATATCTCTCAAGTACCTAAACTCATTTTACAATTCAATAATTATGTGGTCGCACATGTCTAGTGGCACCATAAAGGACTACACAAGCACAATCATTTTCGACCTGAAGCCCTCGAAATCGGGAATCAGTGTACCGTAATCTATAAGGAGAACGGGCAACCCCTCCCATAGTTTTCCAGATGGTATTAGCCTGCCTTTGAGCCGTAAAAGACGCCGAAGATCGGGAGAAAACGTAGAACATATGGAAGCATGTGAGATGCCGTTGAAGGGAATTTTGTACATTTTTCAGGGTAGTCTTACTCTTCGAGTTTTTGACCTCAGATTTCCGCCACGTTGAGTATGTAAATTTTAGACATTGTTCCCGTTCTTTAGCCGATTCCAACCGATTTCTTCTCATTTTTGAATTATGAGCAGGGGAGTGCTGCACAAAAACCTTTACATAGGGATGAATTTTTGTTCTCTTCAAATTTTTTCTCTGATTTTTTTTTCATGAAAATGAACACCGAGGGCTTATCGGATTACTATCTTCCAAGTCTTTTGGTAACTTCACCTTTTTATGGAATAGAAAAATGTCAGTCAAGGAACTTGTCTTGAAACGGAGACTGAACTACTCTCTTAATCCCAACACCAGAATAAAAGTCGCAAAAAAGTATATGCGACAATATTGAGATTGATATCCAAAAACAACTCTAAGTTTGAAACTGAATAGTTCAATTATATACTAAGCCAATGAATTTATTGTATCGTAAAAACATTGTGACTTTCAGAATGCAAAACTCGTTGATGACTCGCGATTGATGGAGAAATGGGCGAATCCACAATATGAAATTTTGTTCAAGGTACTGTTGACAGCTTTCTTCTACTCTTTCTGATAGGAGTACATTTTTGTACATACGTCATTAGCGAAAGCTACCGTTAACTCTACAGTAATGTCAGTAAATCAATGTTTTTTCCCAAGAAAAGCAACACTCCATTGATATTTTCAGAAAGACAAAAGAAAACCAAGTTAGATTGCGTTGTTGATACAACGAATTTTTCTAGGTATATGTCCACTCGATTAAAAACCCCGACGAAATAATGAACGGAGCGATACCAGAAGTGACAGAGTCAGGTCCATACACATTCAATAAGAAGGTGACGAACAAGGTAAGCACATACTTCGTTGGACAAGAGTAATGAGTTCGGAAACCTTTTTCTTGCGTTATCGGTTTCGCTATCATTCCCCTTTACTGAATTATTGGAAAGGAATTGAGAAAAGTACTTTTAACGTATTGAGGGCCGTCGTACTGTAGTTATTTCCGCATTGCTTTGACTTTATTCTTCATCTCTAAGCCGGCTTCATGTCCATGGTTTGCCAGTAGGAATGCGTTCCATTGTTTCTGGTCCTTAAAGGGGAATCCATGAGAGTTCCGGGATCGAATAGAAGGAAATATACCCAGTCGAAAGGCAGGAGGACTCTCTAAGGTTGACACGATGCGCTTTTCGCAGCCAAGAGCTTGTTCCAAGGGGCCTAGCAGAGCCGCACCCGCGCCACCTTCGCCGCTGCACTCCAACTGCTGTTCATCGCTGACCACTCGCCGCCTGACTGTAGCCGCTGTAGCAGAGAGAGCGTTAGCGTTGAAGAGGGCAGCACCGATGAGAATTGCGTAATGGTAAGCGCAAATCAATGGGTAAGAAAGGAGGTCTCAATTCTTGGGCACTAGGCCGCTCTTCTTAGTTTTTTCTTCATCCATGCATCATTGACAGCTCCTACTTTGACTTCCAGTACGCTGCCTTCTCATCGTAAACTCCTTCTTTGAACGTATAAGGGTAATCATGGGACATAAAGAGGCCAAATAATCCCAACAAGTACGATTACTCCTTGGGAGTATCAGCGTGACAGCGTATATGGGTTGTGTGTCCATCGTTAATTCTCGACGGATCATAAGTGTGATCGAACTGCTATGCCAGTAATGTATACCAGTTGTTTATCCGCTCTGTTTTGCAAGCTCTTCTTTCAGTAACTGTTTACTGTTTTTAAGGTGCTTTCACATGAGAATGGTATAGTGAAGTTCAAGCGATTTATCTCCTACACCTTCAACGAGACTGAATCCTGTCTAACTTGTATACTAGGGAATCGGATATGGATTCCGAATATGATCTATCAGGTAAGATCCGCCTTCTTTTTCGTGAAACTTCTCATAACAATTGCGGAAATGCTCTATTCATGCCCACTCTTTCGGAAGAAAAGAAGCGAGGGTGAGACCATACGCCACAATTGACGACGGTCTCCAAGTAAAATCTGGTTAGAAGTTGTTCATAGTGATAGCTGATTTCTGGTAAATGATAGTTGTAATTAGTGACAATCGATAGAATACAACTGCAACAGGCTAATCATTTCATTGGCAGAAAACATTAACATTTTGTGAAGGGCCGTCGTCACTTGTGGTGTGTGGTCTGCAACCCGACGCTCTTCTCGTATTTTGAAAGGACTATACGAATGGATATCATCGCCGAAGCACGATAGATTTGCCAGAATTCTTCAAGAGAAGAAGTTCAGAAGACATCACGAGAGCACTTGGGGTTACCAAGCAGGGCTTCAAGAATTGAAGCCAATTGTAAATTAAAAATATGAAGAGATACGCGTCGTTGGAATCAACGCTCCATAAACCTATCCAACTTATGCGGTCGTCCTGTCTTTTGTGAACATGACAAAAGCAGTAGCTGCAAACGATCAAAAAAAGGAATTAGCATTGAGGGTTCTGCCATGCGGCATACGACAGAGTCGCAGCGGATACCAAAAAACGCTGCGAAAGGATAGGAGCCCCACTGTTGTAGGGACCACTGTGTTCGGCAAACGACCCGCAAGTCAAATGTGAATGTCCATGACGTACAATAGGCAACATGATTACAGCAGGGACCGCTTCCTTATTCTTCCTCGTGGCAGGAACAAAAAATCCCTTCCGATTTATTTTTTAGGAGACCTGCGTCTCCTCTAGGTCAGGCCACCATAATTACCGATCAATTGAAGCTTAAGATTCGAAGTGTTGGGATATTAGAGTTAAGGTTTATGTTACACATTTGGCTGTTACCTACCTAAGCCTGTGATTGGCTTAGGCTTAGTCTAAGCATATTTCTTGAGCATGAACGGGTCTCAGAATTTCAGGTGACGTTGCCCAGGAAGAGAAAACGCTACGCACCTTCTTTTGTATGTCTCAACCGGAATTGCCCTAAGAAAGGGCTTAACTGTATGTATTGTATGTGTGTGAAAAGGTGAACATGTGCTGAGAATGGAGAAGTTATGTCATTAAACACAAATAATTTTGAAAGAATTTTTAGATTCCCCGTGTGGGGGAATGATTAGATATAGTCCCAGGTGGTTGTGGCATTGTATGTAGAAATACTGTGAAAATACGCTACTTGTGAAACTGACCTATAAACCAGCGCGATATAATGACTAGCAAAAATAGTTCTCTATGTCAGTTGACGTTTTTTGTTTATAACTGTAGGGGTGGCGTAACTTGACAACTCATAACTTAAGCATTCTTGGTGCCCTTTGAGATGACAGAGAAGCGAGCTAGAAATTATGGCTCCATAGCAACATCCAGAAGCTGACGTGAATACCACTCTCACACGTAGGGAAAAATTGGATTGCCTGCCCATTTTTTGAATTTTTCTCAATTTTTTTGTTTTACATGCACAGCTGAATTTTTAGAAATTTGTCGAGGCTGCGTCTACTGTAGGAATGCGTGCAGCTGCAACGACACTTCTCTCACAAACCGCGTTCCTTGAAGTGGAAGTGGGAGAGTTCCTGTTCGAAGGATACAAGGATCCTTTCCTTGATAAGGTCAAGTCAAAGCATGAGCCAGGCAGAACAGCCATTACTCTCGTACTCTTTTACGACAGAAGAGCTGGTTTCAAATATGCACCGAAAAAACTGTTCTAATGGCGGAATCTCAGTGAATCTATTTCAGTTCTATTCTGTCTCGATGTTACGATGCCCACTAGGGTCAATCTCGGAATATCAGTTTTCCTATTATTTTTGAAGCAATTCCTCAACGGTAGTTGCAATAGGCAAGAGATCCCGTGGGTGCATTTTAAAGGAAGCGGTTACGATAAAGAGCGGGCGCATTGGGGAAGCATATGCACCACCCTAACCAGATATTTGGCTGCCAAGGAAGCGAGGTGTGGCGCTCTTCGCCCAAACGAAAAGTGCATGCGTGCACTGTTGCAAGATTCGGGCAGCTTCTCCGCCAGAAGAGCGATCGCCCTCTAGTTTCCTTCTTGACTGGACGAGCATGCATGACCAGCCCAGCGGCGAATGGAGCATTCTTGATTAAGAAGCGTTAGTGGTGGCAGCGTGCGATGAACTCGTTCATACGTCCGGCTTTTCTTGAGGTGTTACCTGTTCATGAGAGGAATACCAACGGCCAAAAAAGGGGGTCCCGTTTTGCGTTTTCTTGATGGATTTCTCTGCTTTTTTCGCCACTGGCGTACCAATTGAGCATCACCAGGTCTCCACTAAACCCTCTTAGAATCGTATAGTCGCTGCGTTTGAGCTGTCAGAAGTTGCCGACTCATAGCCTTTCTCCGTCCTCTGGAACTGTAACAACAGCGCAATCAAATGGTTGCTGCTGCTGGACCCCATTCGACTTGCTCCAGCTCTGTGACAAGACAAGATGGAATTTTTCATGAATATTATGTAATATCGGCCTTGACACGACCGAGTACCTTTCTTAGCTGCCCGATTTGACGTTCCTCCTTTCTAACCCACCGACGCGCTGTTGTATGAGCATTTTTCCATGTTTTTCCAATACCAATACATTTTTGAAAAGCTCTGTTATTAATCGATGAACTCGTTGTTTTTCTATAGTCCGATAGTGTATGCGATTTGCTTTGGAATACAAAAAAAAAAAACGCCAAATAAATTAGGCCAAACGAGTGTGGTCCACTTGTAGGCCAAGCTGTCTGACTCAGTTTAAGGAATCTTCCGCGGAAAAAGCTCCGCCTCCATTACCACAGAAAAACGATACCTTAGGCCCCTAGCCTCATGAGCATAGCAAAAAGAACGGAACATAAGCGTTAGTTTCGATAATACTAATCCTACACACAAGACAAAATGATCACTCTTTCCGTGGAAGATTCCTTTAAGGTATCGTTTATCTTTGGAAAGCTTCTATTCGGATTCGTAACTCTTCGGCGATGAATTCATTAGTTCAGTGAAGAGTACATGAAGGTCTAACTATATGCTGAATTGTGAGCGTTTTCAGGTGTGCGAAATTCCTTTCATGAATTTCGTCTGCGATTCGATTCTTGACCTACCGGATCGAATTGGGATGTTCTATGAGGTGCTTTCTTCAGGATTTATTGCACTCTAATCCCCTCATCTGAGTTTTTCATTGAAGGCGAACAACACAGCTGATGGGGTCTATGAGATCCACGACGGCGTGGACAATCCTCAGGACCTCGGTAAAATCGAAACATGGAATGGCAAGAAATCAGTTGACCCTTCATGGTATAGCTTTCGTATCTTTATTGTTGCTTTTCTATGTAGTCGAACACACAGAACACTTGAGCCATCTAAACAGTCCAACACAGGCCTTCTGTTTTTTCCAGGTGGTCCAGTGATAATGCGCGAGCAATTCGTGGCACGGAAGGAATGCTGTTCCCTCCGTTTTTGAAAAAATCGGACAGGCTGTACATATTCATCAGCCAGCTGTGCAGGTAGAGTTTTTCACTATTGTTGTCTCAACCATCCCCTCCCCCCATTGTCATGTTTACATCTTGAAACCCGTGCAGCCCTTATGTGGGCTGCAATCTGTCGACCGCATGGGGCCTTGCAGTCCATATTTTGGGAAAATATTGAGTGTTTTCACGTTTTTTTTCCACTTCATTCAGTAAGGTGTTCTCCTCAATCATAAAATAGGTTTTTGTCCCAACTTGTATGATGAAGATTCTTGAAACTTTCACTGACGTTCCACGTGGCCGCAAAACGTAAAACATGCGCGGTTTCCAATGTGCTAATGTGTGTGCCGCGGCTACAATGAGGTAGCTCAGAATGGCCAAGTCAACCATAGTTTTTTGATTCTTGGCGGCCGAATGACACTTTGACAACCATACAGCTCATATAATACATAGGCTGCAGTCTGCCGACAGCATGGGACCTTACAGCTTTGAGTTGCCAATATAGATCACCTATTTTTTATTTATTTAATTAGGGCGGAAGTGGTGTAGTGGCAAGTGGCACGCTTACCACGCGAGCGGTCCGGGGATCAAATCCTGGGTCGTGAGTCGCCCGGGCCAACCAAGCCTTCCATCCCTCCGGGGTCGGTTAATTGGTACCAGACTTGTCTGGGAGGATAAAAACACTGACTTGTACATCGGCTGGCCCCCGCAAGTCATTGTATAGGCCACATCGCATTCAAACGCCACTAATGTACAAATGGAAGTAGAATGCGTGCCGCATCCCAAAAAGGGATTGATCAACGGCAAATGCTTTATCCTTTATTTTTTTGAATTAGGTCAACTGGGTTTGCATGATAAGTTTTCTTTTTCGATACATTTGTGAAGGTCGTAGGGATCCTAAGCTGCAAAACATGAAACCGTGTGCTCCAAAGCGTTCAGGTTACCTCCCATGATATTTCGAGGGGGCAAATATTGCAAAGAGAAGAAACCATTGATTGTGAGAATGGCTGAGCGTTGTCTCAAATTTTTAACATCGTCCATCGGTTCGGTTTGGCCACCCATTTGTGTGGAGCTTTTCCCATATGAAAGATATGCATATATGAAGCTCATATGGAAAGGTCAGAAGGTCGATCTTGCCGGTCGCAATTAGATGACTACCTATGTTTATGCTTGTAGTGAAACGCTGAGCTTAATTTTGCCTTCGGCATCTGTGTAACGATTTTCTGGACGGAATCGTAAATCAGAAGAGTTCAGTTTGCGGCATTCGCCCACAGTTAGGATTTCATAGGTCCTTGAAAATAAAGGAAGGGAAGGCGTTGCTGAAGTGAGAAAATTTATTATAACAAGTAAAAATGTGGCCCGATTCGCCTCCTAACTCACACGAACCACTGTATTTTCTCAGCCTCCAAAAAGCCTTGCTCTTCTGCTCTTTTAGTAACTTAACTAGAAGGTCTTTTAACAAAGTCATTTCATTACCGCTTGCGTTTGACGAGTTTGCGTAAGTTCCTATCACCTTTATTTGCCCATGACTACCTGTTGCCCCGTGGCGCTGAGGTTCTGACCCAATTACGGCAAAAAATCATGGTGGCCCATAAATCCATTATCATTTCGTACTTCTTTAGTGATGGCTACCACAATTTTTTCGAAGTTGGTTAACTTGACCCTAGGGGTAATTTAAGCCCGTACACAATCACCTCTTCAATCCGCTTCACTTGTTGGCCAGAACCTGCTCGCCTTTCGTTAACAGGGTAATAAACCGGAAGGTGGATCATTCGAAAAATTTTCGTCTAGAGAAACGTTTTGACAGCCGTTCTATGTGGACATTTGTTCAGGTCCATATGGCTCGAATTCGAGAAAGAGGTGGAGTACGAAGGCATACCGGCTTATCGCTTCATAGTTCCTCCTGACGTGTTTGATCCAACTATCCCTGAAAATGATGGCTTCTGCAATCCCACTGACAAGGTAAGGCACTTTACTGGGAGTCTGTAGGAATTGTTGTTTATTTGAGCAACTGATGGTTTCAGAAGTTCTTCGAATCACAAAACGAGACCGATGACTGCTTTCCCAAGGGACTTCTGGAAATAAGCAAGTGCCAGCGGAGTGAGATTTTATTGTTTTCATTCAAGATACTCCGTCATAA